GTTAGTTAGTAGTAGTTAGTTAGTAGTTAGTTAGTTAGTTAGTTAGTTAGTTAGTTAGTTAGTTAGTTAGTAGTTAGTTAGTTAGTTAGTAGTTAGTTAGTTAGTTAGTTAGTTAGTTAGTTAGTAGTTAGTTAGTTATAGTTTAGTTAGTTAGTTAGTTAGTTAGTAGTAGTTAGTTAGTTAGTTAGTTAGTTAGTAGTTAGTTAGTTAGTTAGTTAGTTAGTTAGTTAGTTAGTTAGTTAGTTAGTTAGTTAGTTAGTTAGTTAGTTAGTTAGTTAGTTAGTTAGTAGTTAGTTAGTTAGTTAGTTAGTTAGTTAGTTAGTTAGTTAGTTAGTTAGTTAGTTAGTAGTTAGTTAGTTAGTTAGTTAGGTAGTTAGTTAGTTAGTTAGTTAGTTAGTTAGTTAGTTAGTTAGTTAGTTAGTTAGTTAGTTAGTTAGTTAGTTAGTTAGTAGTTAGTTAGTTAGTTAGTTAGTTAGTTAGTTAGTTAGTTAGTTAGTTAGTAGTTAGTTAGTTAGTTAGTTAGTTAGTTAGTTAGTAGTTAGTTAGTTAGTTAGTTAGTTAGTTAGTTAGTTAGTTAGTTAGTAGTAGTTAGTTAGTTAGTTAGTAGTTAGTTAGTAGTTAGTAGTTAGTTAGTTAGTTAGTTAGTAGTTAGTTAGTTAGTTAGTTAGTTAGTTAGTAGTTAGTTAGTTAGTTAGTTAGTTAGTAGTTAGTTAGTTAGTTAGTAGTTAGTTAGTTAGTTAGTTAGTACCCACAACCTTCGGTCTAACAGACTGGAACACTTACCACTCACCGGCTGGAAGCAAAAGACTTCAGCCAGAAGGAATTGTTTTAGACCAAGTTAAAGTGACCCTTTTCCAATGAGAAATAGTAGGAATATATCGCTTTTTTAATAGTAATGCTGGGCTCCCCTGTCATATCTGCATAGTCAGAGATAACGGGGACACAGTTTTTCACCTTCTCTAATTGACTAATTAACTATCATAATCATATATGTAATCGCTGCAGGACTGCATCTAATACCTCATTAACTCTTTCAACGTATAGTGGTCGTATAGAGGAACAAAAATGGGTCAGAGGATGTTAAAGTAATCTTTACTTTGTTGACTAAGAAACCAAGAACAAATTAATATATGAAGAATGTGACAATGTTCGGTGCAGATTTTATTGAATCAAACTTTAAAAAAAACATATAGATTTGAAAATATTTTTCTTTGTTTCGAAATCTATTTCTTGTATACGATTTTTTGGTATGACCCTCGTATATTATACGAATATTATGTAAAACTATAACTCATTGACTCTTTTTTTTATTCACTCATCTGCTCAATGCCTTAAATCTCTCACAATCTCAATTGTTGTTTGATTCTTTAATATTGAAAATAAATAAAACAACAATAACAACAACAGAAACTTATAACATACACTATGTGTGTATGTAAGTGTGTAAGAAAAAGGAAACGCCATGCGAGCCATAAGTAATGGTAAAATGGATTTTTGACAGATTTATGACTATCGAGCCGTCTTCATTTTTTGAATTATTGCCATCGAAATAGACGAGCCCGTTAAGAGCTGCTGTTTGTGTTATTGTTGTTGCTGCTATTATTACTATTACACTTATGTTTATAGTTGTTGCTTTTCTTCTCTACTTTAGAACTTCTTTTGACTGCCGCTGGCATTGAGGAAAAAAATATAGAAAACTCTGCAGGAAATGCTTTCTTTTCCTTTAAAACAGCAGATTCTGTTTTTTGCTTGATTTTGGTTTCTTCTTTCTTTTGTGTGTAAGACATAGTCTGTCTGTCCATTTAGTTATCAGTCCGTTTGTATATTTTTTTTTTTGTGTAAAGAATGTATTTTGTGGCAATATTACAACATATTTTGGGTGGTACCAAAATACCAATATATTTTTTTTTTTCAATTTTGTGTATATTTTCCTCATCATTGTTACACATATCATTTGTTTCGCCTGTTCAAAATCTAACAGCTTTTCAATTGCTATCGTTAGGTATGGCAGAAATAATTTTCATAGATATTTTTTTTGGCAGTTCTTTAAGGTGCATCTCTAGTTGCAAGATGTTTTTCTTTTTTCATAAAAAACAACTTCCATAGAATTCAATATCATGATTTATGCTCATTGAGAAGAGTTTTCAGAATATGTATCAACATTACTAACTATGGATCCTTACTACGATTTTGACGAAGCTTCCTCTCATGGTTTTTTGGAATTTTGGTGGGGGTTGCTGGGAGGTAAAGAGGGGAGTAAACTGCGGTAACCTACCGGGATTGGGAAAAAGAGGGAAAGGAGGTGGAGAGGGGCCGCTACAACAACTAACTAACTAACTAACTAACTAACGAACTAAACACTAACTAACTAATAACAAGAACTAACACTAACGAAACGAAAACTAACGAACTAACTAACACTAACGAAGAACTAACTAACAACTACTACGAACTAACTACTAACAACTACTAAACTAACTAAAACGAACTAAACTAACTAACTAACTACTAACAACGAAACGAAACGAACGAACTCAACTAGAACTAACACAACTACAACGACGAACGACGACGAATAACGACGAACGAAAACAACTAACGAACGAACACACGAAACGAACCTAACTAACTAACTAACTACTAACTAACTAACTAACTAACTAACTAACTAACTAACTAACTAACTAACTAACTAACTACTAACACTAACTAACTAACTACTAACTAACTACTAACTAACTAACTAACTAACTAACTACTAACTAACTAACTAAACTAACTAACTACTAACTAACTAACTACTAACTAACTAACTAACTACTAACAACTAACTAACTAACTAACTAACTAACTAACTAACTAACTAACTAACTAACTAACTACTAACTAACTACTAACACTAACTAACTAACTAACTACTAACTAACTAACTAACTAACTACTAACTACTAACTAACTAACTAACTAACTAACTAACTAACTAACTAACTAACTAACTAACTACTAACTAACTAACTAAATACTAACTAACTAACTAATTAACTAACTAACTAACTAACTAACTAACTAACTAACTAACTAACTAACTACTAACTAACTACTAACTACTAACTAACTAACTAACTAACTAACTAAAACTAACTAACTACTAACTACTAACTAACTAACTAACTAACTAACTAACTAACTAACTACTAACTACTAACTAACTAACTAACTACTAACTAACTAACTAACTAACTACTAACTAACTAACTAACTAACTAACTAACTAACTACTAACTAACTAACTAACTAACTACTAACTAACTAACTACCTAACTAACTAACTAACTAACTAACTAACTAACTAACTAACTAACTACTACTACTAACTACTAACTAACTACTAACTAACTAACTACTAACTAACTAACTAACTAACTAACTACTACTAACTAACTAACTAACTAACTACTAACTAACTAACTAACTAACTAACTAACTAACTACTACTAACTAACAACTAACTAACTAACTAACTAACTAACTAACTAACTAACTACTAACTAACTAACTAACTAACTAACTAACTACTACTAACTAACTAACTAACTACTAACTAACTAACTACTACTAACTAACTACTAACTACTACTAACTAACTAACTAACTAACTAACTAACTAACTAACTAACTAACTAACTAACTAACTAACTACTAACTACTAACTAACTAACTACTAACTAACTAACTAACTAACTAACTACTAACTAACTAACTAACTAACTCTAACTAACTAACTAACTAACTAACTAACTAACTAACTAACTAACTCTAACTAACTAACATAACTAACTACTAACTAACTAACTAACTAACTAACTACTAACTAACTAATAACTAACTAACTAACTAACTAATAACTAACTAATAACTACTACTAACTAACTAACTAACTACTAACTAACTAACTAACTAACTAACTAACTAACTAACTAACTACTAACTAACTAACTAACTAACTAACTAACTAACTAACTAACTAACTAACTAACTAACTACTACTAACTAACTAACTACTACTAACTAACTAACTAACTAACTAACTAACTAAACTAACTACTAACTAACTAACTAACTACTAACTAACTACTAACTAACTAACTCTAACTAACTAACTAACTAACTAACTAACTAACTAACTAACTAACTAACTAACTAACTAACTAACTAACTAACTAACTACAACTAACTAACTACTACTAACTAACTAACTAACACTAACTAACTAACTAACTAACTAACTACTAACTACTAACTAACTAACTAACTAACTAACTACTACTAACTAACTAACTAACTAACTACTAACTAACTAACTAACTAACTAACTACTAACTAACTAACTAACTAACTAACTAACTAACTAACTAACTAACTAACTAACTACTAACTAACTAACTAACTAACTAACTAACTAACTAACTACTAACTAACTAACTAACATACTACTAACTAACTAACTAAACTACCTAACTAACTAACTAACAACTAACTAACTAACTAACTAACTAACTAACTAACTAACTAACTACTAACTAACTAACTAACTAACTAACTACCTAACTAACTAACAAACTGACTAACTAAATAAAATGCTTCTCACAGAAAAGGAAATTACGCAGGCTCTTGACAGGAATTTGTGATTGGATGCTTGTCAGATCGTATGTAAGTAATCCTAAGATTGTTACCGTTTCATTAGTCTAGACTTGCACTTACGTTTTCAATGACCATTCAGATGCGATATGTAAGTGTAAAAGTTAAGTTATTTAGCGAATTCATATTCTAATATTTATATTCTAATATTCTAATAAAACGAAAAATAATATTTGGTATTCAAAGTACCCAATGCTTTTAAATATATAAAAAATTTAATTATTTATTTAATTAAAAATATTAATAAACATTTCTTCTCCTTAATTATTGTTTGTAAAATATTCTACTATAATCAATATTTCTTAAGGTTATATTTCATTCTGAGTTTGCAGTCCGAATATAGTGATTGACAAGAACGGTCGGTTTCAAATTGTAATTAAGAAAAAAAAAACTAATTTTTTAAATTATTCGACAAAAGAAATTTACTAGGATATTCCTATTTTAAATACTTATTTAATTTTGTTGAATAAGGAAGTGATATGAATTATTATATTTTTTATACCAGATGCAACGAATTTATGATAAAATACATATTAAGAAATATGTTGCAACATGTGACGTTTAAAAAATTTAAATTCGAATAGTGAAACAAAATATTATATTAAAGAATTTTTTCGTTGAATAATTTAAAAGAAACCGGAAAACAAATTATAAAAAATAATGGAAAAGTGACAATTTTCATTTTATTCTGGGGACTCTTTACGTGTGGGCTTGGCAAAAAAGTGAAGCAATATTGTGCGTTTTAACAGACATACGGATACACATTTCGAAAGTTCTAATAAAGAACTGAACTGAACTAGAACTGAACTAGAACTGAACTGGAACTGAACTAGAACTGAACTAGAACTGAACTAGAACTGAACTAGAACTGAACTAGAACTGAACTAGGACTGAACTAGAACTGAACTAGAACTGAACTAGAACTGAACTAGAACTAGAACTGAACTAGAACTGAACTAGAACTGAACTAGAACTGAACTAGAACTGAACTAGAACTGAACTAGAACTGAACTAGAACTGAACTAGAACTGAACTAGAACTGAACTAGAACTGAACTAGAACTGAACTAGAACTGAACTAGAACTGAACTAGAACTGAACTAGAACTGAACTAGAACTGAACTAGAACTGAACTAGAACTGAACTAGAAACTAGAACTGAACCTAGAACTGAACTAGAACTGAACTAGAACTGAACTAGAACTGAACTAGAACTGAACTAGAACTGAACTAGAACTGAACTAGAACTGAACTAGAACTGAACTAGAACTAGAACTGACACTAGAACTGAACTAGAACTGAACTAGAACTGAACTAGAACTGAACTAGAACTGAACTAGAACTGAACTAGAACTGAACTAGAACTGAACTAGAACTGAACTAGAACTGAACTAGAACTGAACTAGAACTAAGAACTAGAACTAGAACTGAACTAGAACTGAACTAGAACTGAACTAGAACTGAACTAGAACTGAACTAGAACTGAACTAGAACTGAACTAGAACTGAACTAGAACTGAACTAGAACTGAACTAGAACTGAACTAGAACTAGAACTGAACTAGAACTGAACTAGAACTGAACTAGAACTGAACTAGAACTGAACTAGAACTGAACTAGAACTGAACTAGAACTGAACTAGAATTAACCTAGAACTGAACTATAACTGTATTAGAACTGAACTAGATCTAGAGTAGAACTGAACTAGAACTGTCTAGTCACCATTTTATGATATTGAAAGTTTCTTTTTGTAAATTAATATCTTAATCATATCCGAGTTAAACTTTATTCATGCTTTCATTTCAGAAAACGAAGCAACAACACCATAATGCTAATTACAGACTTTTATGCAGATCGCGAAGTATTCATTACAGGTGGTACAGGTAAGTAAACAGCTTAATAAAATACTACATATTGAATACGCTTAATATTTATAGGCTTTCTGGGTAAGGCCTTAATTGAAAAACTATTACGTGACTGTCCAAAAATCAAGGTAATCTATATTTTGCTGAGAGGAAAACGTTCAGTTGGTGTTGAGCAACGTTTAGAGGAATTTAAAAAGAATAAAGTATTTGATCGCATAAATCGGGAGTGTCCGGAGGTTTTGGATAAATTACATGCTATACAAGGAGACAGTCAAGAATTGGGTTTGGCTATAGCAGCAAAAGATTTGGAATTGTTGAAAAATGTCAGCATTATATTTCATATGGCGGCCAATGTTAAGTAAGGAAGTGGTAGGGGAATATAGAAAAAGAGATATTAATTAAAAGGTTTTCGTTTATCCACAGATTCGATGACCCTTTACGTAGTTCTATACTGCTTAATACACGAGGCACTTGGGAACTGTTGAAAATTGCGGAAAAACTTAAGCATCTATTGGCTTTCATACACTGTTCGACTGCCTATTGTAATCCCTTTGAGAAAGTTGTAGAGGAAAGAGTAAGATTGAATTGTTTTGAAGTTTTTTTTTTATGCAATTGATTTTGAAATTTACTTAAAGGTTTATAAAATTCCAGTGGATTGGCGTAAGGCCATTAAAATAGCTGAAACTTATGATGAATATACCATTAATGCTTTATGTGCAAAGTATGAATTATTAGCTTATTTTTTAAACTTTTTAAATTATTTTTATAAATATTTTCTTTTTAAAAGATATTCTGGTTATTGTCCTAATACTTATACCTTTACCAAAAACTTGAGCGAACAAATTATTCAAGAATATTCTAGTAAATTACCCATATCCATATTACGTCCCTCAATTGGTGAGTCCAAGTTGAAAATTTTCAAGCGTATGATGTTAACGAATTTTACTTTTATCTCTTTAAGTGATAAATGCCTTAAAAGAACCTGTACCCGGTTGGATTGATAACATGAATGGGCCTTTGGGTGCTATGGTGGGTCTAAGTGTTGGCATTCTACCCATGTCATACTGTAATGCAAATATGGAAATGGACTGTATACCCGTAGATGTGGTTACAAAATTAACTGTTGTGGCCGGCTATAAACTAGGTTTGCAGACCCTTAGGTAAGATTCTCTTAAAAAAATAGTTAATTATAAACTTAAGTATTTCTGTTTCTAAATTTCCAGAAAAGAACCTAAGGTTTTAGAAGTTATTAATTGTGCTTCTGGTGAATTTTTTAGTATAAACATGCATCGTGCTTCTATATTGTATAATAAATCAATTGAAGATAATCCCATGGAAAATTGTATTTGGTATTTCGGTTCCCCTTGGCTGACATCGTGTTACTATAACTTTGTCTTTCATGTTTGTTAACTATTTTATTAAGACTTTTTCGGAAAATTTATTTATTTGTATTGGTTTTGCAGATATTTCTAATGAATCTACCGCTGGCATTGCTAATCGATACTGCTTTGCGTTTAGTGGGCCATCAGCCGTTAATGATAAAGATTTCTCGACGTATTATGTATACGATGAAGGCAATTGGCTTTTTTTCCATGACGGAATACAAAATAATTAATAAAAATATGATCGAATTGGATAAATACATACCGGAAAGTGAATTGTAAGTTTTCGGCTTTGACTAAATTGTTTTATGGATAACTGTTTGAGATCGATAATTTCTCCTTATTCCTGTTATTTCAGTGAAACTTATAACGTTATAAAGGATATTAAAGAGGTAGATTTCTCGGAATTTTTTGATAATGCTGTGCGCGGTGCTAAATACAATTTTTTTGATCAACCTACTGTAGCAACTGATGGTTCCCGTAAACGTTTCAAAATCTTTATTATTGTAAACAAAAGTATAAAATTATTAGTATTTGCTCTAGTTTTAAATTATTTATGGTTAATTGCTTCAAAATTATAATTTGAAATTGATTTGTTGAAATAAATATGGTTATAGGAAACTGGTATGGTTATTTACTATATTCATTTATCAATGATAATTAATAGACCAAGGGGCCTATTCTGAGTTGCAATGAACGACCTGACCTGCAGCAATGACCGTGAATTGTGGCCTAAACTTTTGTCAATTAGTCTGGATTAGTCGTACACATGCTGCATATTAATTTATAAAAAAAATATTAATTAAAAAATTAATAATGATTTTAATTCACACAAAAAGACATTATATATGTGAAATTTCTCATTCAAAGGGAATGGACTATAATTGAATATTACATTGCACTATGGCTAGGGGCTGGTCAGATTTCTGTCTAGATAAAGGGTTGCGGGCCACAATTCTGTCTAGAAATAGGGACCCCCGGGGGCATGTTACCTTGATGAAAGACCCATCATGGTGTGATAGAAATCCCGGGAAAAGAGGTACCAGTACCTCTAGACTGCCGGGACTATAAACGGCTTTTCCCTGGAATGATTTGACATGTTGTCGAAACAGAGAACCCTATAATCTGGTACCATGGGAAACGGTAGACCACAGGGCAGAGTTCCGGCCTTTTGTTTTATCCCGGTTATTGGAAAGATTCTTTTGGAGTGCACATGGGTGCTGTGATTTAAATATAAATTCACGGGAAGAGAATGTCGCCTAAAAGACTGATGCATGGTAAAGTCTATATTCGGGATAAGTTCGGTGCTGTTGCCGAAGTCAACAGATACACCATAGCGAAGTTATTGTGGGACTAAACGTAGGAAATGAGTTGGTGTTAAATGTATATGATACAGTATGAATGTAGGGATATACGGGTCTTCCCCCGCCCGTATACCTAGAGTGAGTGTGTCGGATGTTGTTCTCTATGGGTGTGGCGAATGAATGTGATGTGTGCTGGGTTGAATGGTGATGGATAAAAGGTATCTTATACAAGTGATAACATTGAATTTTCCTTCCTTGTCCAGATGTGTTCAGGGAAAACTCTGTTCATACCAGATTTACTACAGAGAGTTCTCTGTGAGTAAGAACAAAGCCCTCGGCTTATTTGATAGATTTGTGCTTCGAATACGTCTCAAGGTACTGTTGCCGACTCAACAGAGGACATCTCACCTGTGTTATTATAAACGGTTGTTTTCTCATTTCGGAATTTAAGCAACGGGGCAGCAATGGTCAGTGTTTAGATAGCCCAAGTACTTGAGAAAAGTTCTTGCGAAGGTGAGTAGTCCGGCAGGTGTTCACGTAAATCATTTCGACATCTTGTTTAGAAATCGGACCAGTTGCTAAACATATTTCTGTCTAGAATTAGGGTCAGTTGCTAGCCATATTTCTTTCTAGAAATAAGGCCAGTTACTGGCCATATTTCATTCTAGAAATAGGGCCAGTTGCTGGCCATATTTCAGTCCATGAATGGGGCCAGTTGCCGGCCATATTTCTTTCTAGAAATAGGGTCAGTTTGCTGGCCATATTTCTGTCTAGAAGTAGGGCCCGTTGCTGGCCATATGTCTGTCTAGAAACAGGGACAGTTGCTTGCCATATTTCTTTCTAGAAATAGGGCCATATTTCAACCATAAATAGGACCAATTGATGGACATATTTCTTTCTAAAAGTAGGGTTAGTTTACTTGCCATATTTCTGTCTAGAAATAGGGCCAGTTACTGGCCATTTTCCAGTCTGGAAGTAGGGCCAGTCGCTGGCCACATTTGTCTAGAAATGGGACCAGTTACTGGATATATTTTTGTATAGAAATAGGGCCAGTTACGGGCCATATTTCTGTCTAGAAATAGTTTCATGTTAACTTCAATGTCACTAGTTAGTATAGGAGTCACAGTTTCCATACGATATCCACAGGTTTCGTTGGGGAAACTTGTTATGACAGTCCCTTATATAATCTCTAATTCAAAACAGTTTGATTGATGTTTGATGAAAACCGGAAGTCATATATATAGGCAAGTTTTTCGGTTTCAAATGTTGACAAATTCTAAGCCATAGTGCATTTTTTTAAATTTTCAAGGAAAAAAACAATCGGTCATTAACTTTGAAGACGTCAAAGAATAATGCATAATTTTTTTTAATTCATATTTATACAAGAATTATTTGAAAGAAAAAAATTGATTATGCATTCAATATGAATAATTAAATATTTCTAAATAGAGGATCGTTGAAGTATCGAATAATAATTACTTGATTAATAACTACCAAATATTTCAAAATAATTTATCTATATGTTTTTATACCCTCCACCACCATCAGTGGTGATAGAGGGTATATATAACTTTGTCATTCCGTGTGTAACACCAAGAAATATTCATCTGAGACCCAACAAAGTATACATATTCTGGGTACTTATCAAATTCTGAGTCGATTTAGCTATGTCCGTCTGTCTGTGTAAAACACGCTCACGATAAAACGAAGCAATAGAGTTTAACCAAATTCACCCAAAATGTTCTTCATTTTCCTAAGTTGTTTGGTATTGCAAATGGGCAAACTCGGTTCACATCGGGAAAAGTTATGAATCAAAATTTAAAACAACCTCGAAAAAAATAAGCATTTTTTACACATTGTGATGTAATTTTCTCGAGAACTATGCAAGATAATTCCATGAAAATCACCACAAATTCGTTCCTACACAAGAGCTTGATCCCTGCTGAAAATCGCCAGAATCGGTCCACAATTTCATATACCTCCCATACAAAAGTATATATTCCCGGAAAATGGGTTTTTTGTTAATAACTTCCGCCACAATGTCGATATTTTCACAAAATTTTACAAACAAAAATCTTATGTCAATAGAATTTTTTCAGAGGAAACATTTTATGGATCGGTCCATAATTGGACATAGCTCCCATACAAGGTCCCCTCCCGAAAATCACTTAAACGCGCATAACTCATTACTAAATTAAGATATCCATATAAAATTTGGTATAAGTATTGCCCATATGCATAAAAATATTACTTAGAAATTTTTTTCCGATCGGTCCATAATTGGTCATAGCTCACATACAAGGTCCCCTCCCGAAAATCACTTAAACGCGCATAACTCATAACTAAATTAAGATGTTCATATAAAATTTGGTACAAGTATTACTCGTATGCACAGAAATATTACTGTGAAATTTTTTTCCGATCGGTTCATAATTGGTCATAGCTCCCATACAAGGTCCCCTCCCGAAAATCACTTAAACGCGCATAACTCATTACTAAATTAAGATATCCATATAAAATTTGGTATAAGTATTGCCCATATGCATAAAAATATTACTGTGAAAGTTTTTTCCGATCGGTCCATAATTGGTCATAGTTCCCATACAAGGTCCCCTCCCGAAAATCACTATAAAATCATATAAAATTTGGTACAAGTCTTACTCGTATGCACAGAAATATTACTGTGAAATTTTTTTCCGATCGGTTCATAATTGGTCATAGCTCCCATACAAGGTCCCCTCCCGAAAATCACTTAAACGCGCATAACTCATTACTAAATTAAGATATCCATATAAAATTTGGTATAAGTATTGCCTATATGCATAAAAATATTACTGTGAAAGTTTTTTTCGATCGGTCCATAATTGGTCATAGTTCCCATACAAGGTCCCTCCCGAAAATCACTATAAAATCATATAAAATTTGGTACAAGTCTTACTCGTATGCACGGAAATATTACTGTGAAATTTTTTTCCGATCGGTTCATAATTGGTCATAGCTCCCATACAAGGTCCCCTCCCGAAAATCACTTAAACGCGCATAACTCATTACTAAATTAAGATATCCATATAAAATTTGGTACAAGTATTACTCATATTCACAGAAATATTACTGTGACATTTTTTCCGATCGGTCCATAATTGGTCATAGCTCCCGAAAATCACTTAAACGCGCATAATTCATTACTAAATTAAGATATCCATATAAAATATGCATAGAAATATTACTGTGAAAGTTTTTTCCGATCGGTCCATAATTGGTCATAGCTCCCATACAAGGTCCCCTCCCGAAAATCACTTAAACGCGTATAACTCATTACTTAATTAAGATAACTATATAAAGTTTGGCAGAAATATTGCTCATATACAGAGAAATATTACTGTGAAATTGTTTTTCTATCGATCCATAATTGATTATAGCTCCCATACAAGGTCCCTTTCAGAAAAACACTTAAAGGCACATAACTCATTACCAAATAATGATATTAATAAATACTATTTTTGTTCATAAATACTATTTTGTAATGCAAAAAACACTTAATGTTATTTCAAATTTTTTTCACGACCGGTCCATCCTTGGTCATAGCTCCCATACAAGGTTCCTTCCCGAAAATCACTTGAACGCACATAACTCATTACCAAATCTTAATATCCATATATTTAGCAAAAATATTGCTCTTATATACATAAATTACACTATAAAATTGTTTTACGATCGTTCTATATTTGGTCATAGCTCTCATACTAGGTCCCCTCCAGAAAATCACTTAAATGCACAATATTCATGATATAAATACAAAATTTTGAAATTTTGTCTTTATGTACAGAATTGGTCATAGCTCCCATACAAGGTCCTTTTACGAAAATCTCCTAAAAGCACATTTCTCATTACCAAATAAAGCCATTGATACAACATTTGGCACAAATAATAGTTTTGTATACAAAAATTATATTTCAAGATTTTTTCTCGATAGGTTCATAACATGGGTGCGGTCATAACACTCATAACTTATTACAAAATTACGATATAGATACAAAATTTTACTGAAATATAGTTTTTATGTACAGAAATTTTGCTTAAAGAATTTTTTACGATCGGTCTATATTTGGTCATATCTCTCATACTAGGTCCTGCCCCTAAAAGCGCTTTAATCGTATTTAACTATTTGCATTATCAATTTGTGTAGAACAAAATTATATATATGTATGTATTTTGAACCTTCGCGACGGGTAGTCATCTTGACGCGATGCGAAGGCTTATGTGTGATGACCCATGCAGGCCGTGCTGGTAGGGCTACCCATGCCAGAGTGGCTCA